TTTTTTTCTTTTTTTCTTCTTTGACTTAATTTTTGTTGATAGTGAAATTTTTTAAAAATGATGCAAAAATAATTTAGGTAGTGTTTAGAAATATAATTTGAGAATAAAGTTATATTTTAAATTTATATGTTTTGAAATTATGATTTAAGTATAAAAAATTTGTTTGATTATGAGTTTGAAAAGAATTTTTGAATTGAGTGAGGAATTTTTTATGTGACGTGATATTTGATATAAAAACTTATAACTCATAACAAAATATACAACTCAAAAATCTATTAAAAGCTTATAAAAAAATTTTAAAAGTTCTGAAAATATTGTTTTATTAAAAAAAAAAAGTGCCAATTGTAAAAAAAATAATAATAATAAAAATAAAATAAAATTGCCCTGTTCCGGTTAACCACTTGGACGACTTGCCGGACGACCAATTAAGTCAAATTTCAAAAAAAAAAAATTCCACCTGATAATTTTCTTTTTGTTGTGAAAATATAATTTGAAAGATGCATCCAAACATGACATTAGAATGTGAGAGTAGAATTATAGTTTGAAAATCTATCTAAACACAATCTTAATTTTTTATAATGCATAAGATTTATCAAATCCAATAGGATTTTCAAATTTGAATTAAAAATTTAACAAATTCTAAAATTTATTTTAACTTTTAATTTGATTCACCTAACAAATCAAATTTTAAATAAATTTTTATGTCATAAAGCAACAAATGTACAACTCTCTCATTACCGCGCGAACACGTCATCACTCTCCAGAGAGCATAAACAAACAACTAGGGTTTTTCTAGGGTTTCTGATTCTCTCTCCAATCTCCTTAACCCGAGAGAGAGAGAGAGAGGACGAAGGCGGAGCAACCATGTCAACAACACCTCGCCGCGGCGTCCCCGAGATCTCACCGGAGTCACTCTCAGCCTCCGGGCGGACCGCCGAGAAGCTGAGCCTCCCGACACTGCAATCGAAGATGAAGTGCGATCCAGAAGGTTACGAGACCGAGCTCACACTTCTCTACGCTCAATTCAAGTCCTCTCTCGAGCTTTTTCAGCAACAAGCGGCTTTGAATTTCACCTCCGTCAGCGGCGTCGCCGGCGACCCCACCGTCGCCAAGGATCTCGGCGATCGAGTCATGTTCTTGGCACATGTCACTCCATTTTACCGTAACCAGCTGTCTCAGTTCCCCAAAGAAATCGCCGATTTTCTCGGCTCAGCCGCCCGGACGATTCCGTCGTCGCTGCGATGCCATATTGCTCAGGCTCTGATTCTTCTCATCAATCGCAAGGTATTTTGCAATTACATTCTTAGCTGACTTAAATAATTTGGATAAATTCTGGTGAATGCTCAATTTTGATTGTATAAAATGGAGTTGTTTTGATTAATTTAGGTGAAAACTTTAATTGAAAGAAAGAGAATTGTTGGTACGTTTGTTTTGATGTCAATGCACTGTTTGGTTGCTGAGAAAATTTTGGAGAGTATTGTTTTTAGGCAAATGCTTAGTTGCTCGTGGGGCATTGCTTAATATTTGGTAATTGTGTAAGAAATGTTTTCAAAATGGTGAAATCAATGATGAATGTTTTGAAATTAGGGACAAGTATTCTTCAGTTTTTTAATTTTTGTATTTTCTTGTGCCGGGGCCACTAGTTAGCAAGACCGTTGTTTTTAATTTTTCAGGCGTTGGACAAAAAAAAAAATCACTCGATTTAGCTTAGAAAAATAGAAAAAAAGAACAATGTTGGAAAATTTGGTATCAAAGTTTTGATTTTTCTTTTCTTTTTATTGTTTTTTTAAATTTTTTTTTTAAATTTTTTAATTTTTTTTAAAGTTAAACAATAATTTGCTGTTTATGATGTTTTATTTGTGTTTGACAAAAGTGTTTGTTTGCTAGATGGTTGATATTAGGGAGACCCTTGCGTTGTTCATGGAGCTTCAGACATTAGGTGACAGAGTTTTGAGAAAATTGGCATTCTCACATGTTGTTCATAGTGTTAGGCGCATGAATCAGAAGCATAAGAACGATGCAAAAAATCGTGCTCTTCAGAATATCTTGTTTACAATGCTACAGGTTAGTAATCTAGTTTTTTTTTTTGTTTTTTTGATCTGGTTAGTAATCTAGTTTGTGTCAATGAGATTGACATTTGGATTTATTTGTTCTTGACATGTTTAACGTGTGAATTTCAATTTTGTGATAGCAAGAGGATGAAGCAAAAGCGAAACAATCACTTATCACTCTGTGTGATCTTCATAGGAGAAAGGTGTGGTTTGATGATAGGACAGCGAATGCAATATGCACAGCGTGTTTTCATCCATCGTCAAGGTATGCATCTGCCTTAGAGATGTTTTGTCTGTGATTTCCAATCATGAATGTAAGGAAGCTATATTTTTTATCTGAATTTCTCAGGATCATGATTGCGGCTCTATCTTTTCTTCTGGATTATGAAAATATTGAAGACGATGATGATAGTGACAGTGATGGTTCAAGCAGTGAAGATGATTCGGCTACTCAACAGCCACAAGTTGTTAGTAGAGAGGCTATGTATAAGGTCTGTCATTTGTGAACTACTGATATATTGCTTCTCCAACTGCTTACTTTGATTTTTTGTCATCAGAATTTTGGCAAACATCTGTCAGCTTGCATGGTTGGGGCTTATCTTTTGGAAATAAACAAGAATAAAAAATGCAATTATTGTTGGAAACCTCTTTTTAGCTTGCCTATTAGGTTAATTTGTGATGTTATGTTCTATTAAATTTTAGGCACACCATAAAGGTACAAGTTCTAGCAAGAAGAAAAAGAAAGCGAAATTGCAGCGTGCCATTCGTAGTATGAAAAGGCAGCAACGCATGTCATCAGAAAAGAGTAATTTAAACTACTATTCACCGCTTAGCCATTTGAAAGATGCACAGGTTTGTTAGTTGTCATATTTTAATCTGTTGCTAGATTAATTATGTGGGCAAAGGATAATTTCTAAATTATATTCTTCCTGTAGGGATTTGCTGAGAAGCTGTTTTCTCGCCTTCAAACTTGCAATGAACGGTTTGAGGTAGTTTCTCTTTTCACTTTCGTACACCTTAAAAAAAACAATTTTATTTCAATCTGAGTCTCAATTTGTGGTACTAGTGAAATTGTTGCACCTCTTCTTTTTTTTTTCACTGTGGTTTTTTTTGTCTGGTTGACTCATAACTGGGTATGTGGAGGCTGTGGGGAGTGCAAAGAAGATATGATCCTCTGAAAAATGCTGCAGGACTGGATTTATATGTGAGGGGAAAAAATAGTAATTAGAAAACTACCAAGCTAAGGAAATATTACTAAGCTACATAATTTCTGCTTTCACAATTCTGCGCAATTCTTTTCCTTTTAATTTTATTTTTTCTGGCTGTGGATTTATCACATTTCTATTGTTTCTGTACCCATTGGTTTCGTATTTGCAGCATGTGTTCCTGTGAAAGAAAACTGCAAAACTGGATTTGTATGGGAGGGAAACAAATATTATTTGGAAAACTACCAAGCGATAGAATTTCTACTTTGGCAATGCTGAACAATTTTTTCTTTTCCTTTTATTTTTTCTCTCTGTGGATTCATCACAATTCTTTTGTTTCTGTACCAATTAACTTCATATTTGTAGCTTGTTTTGTACTTTTAACTTTAGTGATTTTATGAATCAATTTGTGGATTGCGTCGATTTACTTGATTCATCAGCTACTTGTCTCGGCAGGATTTGCCGCAAATCTAGCATAATACATTAGAAAGATGAAACTTAAAAATAATGAAGAACAAAGTAAGAATAACTTTTGAAAAGTTGACTTGGATTCCATCTTCTTGATGAACTTTAGTTTAATTTTATTAATTGTTGATCAAGGAAATTTCTGTTTATGTTCTGTTCCAAGTTTGTTGATATATGTGATGAACTTCTAGTTTCATGGTTTACAGCTTTTATATAAATACTGTGCCACTGTCAAGCATATGTGATTTTTTGCTCATCACTGCAGATTAAGATGATGATGTTGAAAGTAATTGCTCGAACTGTGGGGCTTCACCGCTTGATTTTACTAAACTTCTATCCATACCTTCAGAAATATGTTCAGGTGTGGTATCCAACATTCTACCTATGCATTAAACTTTCATTTTCTTCCAGTATGACCATGTTGTTACTTGCAGCCCCATCAACGCGATGTCACTACTTTACTTGCAGCAGCTGTTCAGGCCTGCCATGATATGGTGAGCCTTTGCTTGATCATACTTATCACTCAAATTTTTAGTTCTTAGAACTATTTACTTTTTGTAATTTCTTATTATTATGTTTTGTTATTAACCATCTATAGCCCTGGTTATTGTTCATATAGATTTATTTATTTTTTGAATAGGTGCCACCAGATGCAGTTGAACCATTATTCAAACAAATAGTCAATCAATTTGTACATGACCGTTCGCGCATGGAGGTATCACTTTTGCTGCATAAATAATTTCTCTCATGTATGGTGAATTTAGTTTCTACACTGGTTTTTCCAGGCCATCGCTGTTGGACTGAATGCTGTGAGGGAGATATGTCTACGCATGCCTTTGGTATTACTCACTATCCATTAGTTTGATAAGATAATCATGTTTTTATTTAGTATTAGAGAAGTTTTTGCCTACTGTCATTGACATTCTTTAATTTTCAGACTCAATTATTTGTTTTTTGTTTTTGGGTTTTTTTTTTTTTTTTTTATAATTTATTTTGGCTCTTAGTTGATGACGGAAGATTTGCTGCAAGATCTTGTCTTATATAGGAAGTCACATGAGAAAGCTGTTTCAGCAGCTGCTCGTTCACTTGTTACTTTATTCAGAGAGGTATGAAAGGAAAGTGGTTTGCATTGGCCTTTGTGTGTGGTTTGGGTGGGAATTCAGGAAGACTAAGTAAGTTACATTGCAGGTTTGCCCGTCACTTCTTATTAAGAAAGACCGTGGCCGCTCTAGTGATACAAAGGCAAGGCCAAAAGCATTTGGGGAAGCAAATGTTGCCCGAAATGTCCCTGGTGTTGAATTATTACAATCTGATAATGACGTGGATGATGACAATGACACTGATGGTAGTGATGGTGAAGATTCTAATGAGAATGGATTTGGTAGTTCTTCTGAGGATAATAAAGATGTAGGTGCTGTTGAAGAGGATGGCGATGAGGATGATGATGGTGGTAGTGATGGTGAAGATGTTGATGATGATTTTAATATAGAAACAGAAAGTGAAGATGATGAAGTAGCTGTAGCTGAAGATGAAGATGATGGTAATAGTACTGAAAATGATGGTGCTGTGAGTGATAAGGATGATGTTGATGGTGATGGTGATGATTATGATGATGATGATGATGATGATGATGATCAGAGGGAAGAGGAGGATGAGCATGAAGAATCCAACGGTTTGCACGAAGCTAGTGGTAATGAGGTTGGGGGAAAGGAATCTAAAGCGCAGAAGAGGAAGTTTTCTGATTTTGATGGACAGCTGAATGCTGCTGATACAAGCCTTCGGGCTTTGAAGAGATTAGCGGGAGCAAAGAAGCAAGATGCATCATCAGACCCAACAGATGGCATCCTTTCCAATGAGGACTTCCAACGAATCAAAGAACTAAATGTATGTATTGGTCTTTCATTTCTGAACGAAGTTGCAATTTTAAATACCAATGTGAATCTCTTAGTAAAATCATTAAAAAAAAAAAAAAGCAATAGTTAAAAATTTTGTTAGACATTGTACATGGTTTTGGGATGCTTATTATCTTTTAAACTTGTCATTTATTATGATTAGGCAAAGAAGGAGGCAAGGATTGCTTTGGCTAAGCATGGATTGTTAAGAAAGGGTTCAGATGCCAAGTCAACAGCTTTTAAGGTTCCAAGTTCTGATCAGCTTAGCGTTAAGAGAGTGGATCCTGCCAAACTTGAAGTGAGTTTTCTATTTCGTAATTCTTTTTTTTTTTTTTGGGTATGTTATTCAGTTTGCAACACTGATTTTACTGTGTTGCTTATCTCTTGTTCTGTGCGTGCTAATAAGGCCCACATAAAGAAGAAGCTAAGCAAGGAGGAAAGACTGGAATTAATAAGAGCAGGAAGGGAGGAGAGAGGGAAGTACCAGGCTCGAGCAGCTGTCAAACAAAAAAAGGTGCACCTTGCTATTATGATATCTACTTTATTTCTAGATTCGTACACATAATAAATTATAGTTTTTATCAGAACTTGAAAAAATTTAATCAGCTTTTTGTGAACATCATTCTTTTCTTGAAAGGCTTCACCTTGATTCTCATAACAAGTTGTTTTACATTCTATGTTGTGTCTATATGGCTGGCTATGGCTAGGGCTAGGGCTAGGGCAATAGAACCGCATCACCGTACTAAATCCTTATTGTTTTGATATTTTCTTGGTAGGCTCTGTATACAGTTTAGTTTGTTTCACAATATGGTTGTTAAGCTAAGCCTTCACATTTTCACTCTTTACGATTTTCTTTGATAATCTATTTACTGTGATTAACTTAATCCAGTAATCAAAACGCAGCCCAAGAGTTTGTCATATATAACCTGTGGAGTCTTCAAGAAATCCAACACAGCATTTACCGACTTCGTTTCGCGTTCAAAAGAAACTACTTAGGCTTCAGTGAGATGTCACAGATGCCTCTGTAGTTCTTTAGTTTGTACTAACTTTGGTGTTTTTGTTGTCGTGGACAGACTGGTGGCTCGAGCAATCGGCAAAAGGAACACAAGAAGGCTATGCCTCTTGCTGCAAAGAGGTCTAAGGTAGCAAGATCTAAGCAAGAGAAAAAGAAAAAACAGCAGCGTTCTTCCAAACAGTTTCGTGGGAGAAAAGCATGGAAATGATCTCAACTATACCTTCTTCTTATTCTTCTTCTTTTTTCTTTTCTTTTTTTTTCCAACTTTGTTTTTGCGTTGGTCATTGATCTGGAGTATACTTTGCTCTGAGTCTACTACTAATATGATTTTCATGGTAGAGAAGATGCAGGTTGTTTTCAAGTTTTGTTTTGTTTTGTTTTGTTTTTTTTTTTTTTTGGGTTTTATTTTTATTTATTTACTTTTTATCACAGTTAGGAATTGAATAAATGCTCCGAATATCAATCAATCCTTGCCATGTGTTTGTGATTTGCATTCTCACTCTCTTTGTATCTTATAGAAAGAACTCAAAGTTGCCTATTTTTTCTTTTATGAAATTGTTTAGCGATGGATTCTTCACCCACATGTTTACAGATGGATTCCAAAGATGGATTCCAAACGTTATTTGAGCTCGGGATCCATGCCATGCCAAAAAGATGTTTCCAACGTCGGTATTTTGTACTTCAAATATGAGTTGCAGATAATTTTTATTTTGTTTTATTTTTACGGTAATGCTACGTAGCTCGAAAGAGATTCCCCGAATTTCCCCCGAAACAAAAATGATGCCGTTTTTAGCGTTTTTATTTTTATTATTTTTTTTTTTTCAAAAGAAGAAGAAAATTAGAAGGAAGAAGAAGAAGAGAAGGAAGAAGGA